ATTCCTTACATCTGACAAAGTGCACTGTAGCCCAAGCTTCTGCAATAATAAAAACCCAAGGACCATACGACTCTATGTCTTGTTATTTTGGGAGTCTCAGAATGGACAAGGCTAGCCACATAAAAGCACCACCGAAATATTGTTCCAGCTATCTATCCCCACGCGGAGCATGACGTATTTCCACTGGCATCTACTTCCATTCCTTCTTTAAAAAAAGGCTTGAAAGCATATTCTCATTCCCACATATGGTCCCTTTCCTCCCGATTACGATGGTAGCTGTCCAATTTCTGCAACATATTGCAGTTCCCTCTCCCCGCCTCCGCCCTCTGAACAACTTCCGATATACGAACCAGTGCCAGAGAGCACCTGAGCCACAGCATCACCTGGAGATGATGAATTGGCCTCTCCCTTCTCTTTTACACAGATTCTCACTAGTCTGGAGGGTACCATTTGCCCTTCAATCCAGTTCTGCATTGCAAAATTTCATTTCCCTTTTAGGAATCAACTGTCAGTAAGGACAGGGGAAAGAGATAGCCTTCTTCTTAAAACTAAAACAGAATCCCTAGGAGAAGCTTACTCCTGAAAGGTATTTATTATCAGTTGCTCCAAGCTTAGGACGTGGCCAGGGGCAGACCTTCCCAATATGCGCCAGAAGACCTATATCTCAGGCGTGGGGAAGTGGATCTGGACCTGGCAGGATGGAACCTCATCTCTCCCTGCCCCCCACTCCCTGATAGACCAGGTGATCCATTTTTGCTTGTGCAGTTTGAAATCACTGGGCTTTGCCCTGGGCTTTCCAAATGCCACCAATCAGCTAATCCGAGAATCCTGGGCTGCTTCAAGGTCATGAACAAACAGCCCCCCCCCCGACTCCCTGCCTTTGCTAATGAATGACATCACAACTAAACAAGTGGGAGCTGCCGCAAAAATGTTGTAGCATGAAGTCCTGCTGCTCAGGATTCCAGCCACTCCCATCCCAATCTTCCCACCCCCTGGGCATCAGCCTACATGCCAGAGTTACTGAATATGCTCAGTCTTTATGGCGCTGTTTTTGGAATCCTCCCTTTGCAAGTTTTTTTCCTCCCTAAAGATACACTCGCCTCCACTTCTGCACACCTCAGGTTTCCCTCAAATGTGCAATTTTCCTCCCTCTCGTGTGGGGGTGGTGCCATTTTGGCAATTAAGCAAACAGGAACCCACCGCTTGCAGATGAGAAATAGATGGATATCTATAACTGTATCTCTCTATGCACATAAATATATGTGGGCAAGTTTCCACGCACACCGTAACATTCTTGGACTAGCAGATAATGTTTGAGCATGATCAAATGACTGAAGGTTAACTATTTGACCGATCAATTCATTTATTTAGCAAAATTTATATACTGCTTGATTGTAGGGGGGGCGAACAAACCCACACCTCTAAGTCCTTTATAAAAATAGAAAGCAAAACATTACAATTCATAGCTGTCAAGTGTCCCTTATTTGGCGGGACAGTCCCTTATCTCAGCGCCATGTCCCGCTGCTGTCCCTTATTGATGATGTCCCTTAAATTTCCCGGGTTTCAAAGGAAGCAGCTCTTCTCCCTCCCTCCTTGCTGGTCAGGGAGGAGGGAGGCTCCAACTGTGTTGCTTGGCTGTGTTGCTCACCCAATAAGGAGTCTAAGAACGACTGGGGGGGTGGAGCATGCATGCCTTGTGCCGATCAAATCGGCTGCGTTGCCTGGGGACTCGCCTTTGCTCAGCGCTTCCCAGCAGAGAGGTGAAGGTGGTTTTCCTTGCTGCATCCCCTTTGCCGGGTTGCTGTGCTATGGGAACCACCACTTGAGGCTTCATTTGGCTGCTGGTTGTCTAAAATCCCTTATTTTGGCTGCTGATCCCTTATTTTCAAGGCTGCTGGTCCCTTATTTTCAAATCTGTAAGTTGACAGCTATGTTACAATTCTAGGTTTTTAAAAAACCAAACTGTTTGAAACAGGTTTATAGAAGCATTCAAAAGATGAAAACGAACAGTAGTTAAAAAGAGATAAAAGTTCTACGTGTCTGGATCAGCTTGCTTGGGCAAAAGATATATGTGTTAAACAGGTGTCGAAAAGAACGCAGCAAGGGTGCCTGCCTGGTGTCACTGGGAGTTGCAAAGTGCAGGTCCTGTCACACTAAAAGAATAACTTCTTACAACAGCCAAACAGGTATTACGCAGCAGCTCTAACAGCGCCAGCTCTGCAGATTTTGAAGCAGTCCATCCAAAACATTGCAGCACAAAGTCCTGCCGCTCAGGAATTTCAACCACTCCAATCAATTGAAACAGGCATGTATGGGATAGGGCGATCCTGCAACTAAGTGGGACTGAGGAATCGCTCATCGTATCAACCGGAGTCCAGCATCCTATTTCAAAAGAGGCTTACCCCAGCCTCCCCCAACACGGGCTGGATCTAGACTCACCAAAGAAGCGTTTCACTTAAACGCGTTGCAAACTTTGTGTGAGAAATCGGGTTGGCGAAAACAGGAACTCCACAGCGCCATCTGGTGTCATGGTGTTATAATGCATATACAACGCATATAAAGAGCTTTTCCTTTGCCAATGTAGCTGAGGCCAGGGTGTTCTCTAAATATTTTGGACTACAAATCCCAGCATTCAGTGCTTGCTAGAGCCAATGGGAGCCACAGTCCAACAACAGCAGGATGAGGGTACCTCTTAGCCAAATGGAAACCCACAAACAGTTTCACAGACCTGCTGTGTTAGTCCTCCCAGCAACTGGTAGTCCTGACTCTGTACAGCAGGGATGGAGAGCTTGCTAGACTCAATCTCCCAACAGCCCTGATCATTGGGCCATGCTGGCTGGGGCTGATGGGAGCTGGAGTCCAGTAACATCTGGAAGCCTTCAGGTTCCCTATCCTTGCTATAGAACATTTGGTGTTACAGGGCAAAGGGCAATTGACCGGCACACGCCGACTCTTCATGAGGTGTTGGTATCTGTCTGTCTCGGAAGTCAGTGGAGGAGTGTGCCCTTAGTGGTGAGTTCAAACTGTTGGAAGGCTGCATCACCTGCTGTGTCTGTAGGGACTGATGTGGGAGGGGGATGTTTTGTTGCAGCCGGGGCAGATGAAGGCATCCAGTTGTGCTGCTGCAGATGCACCATGGCATTTATTCTCTCTGCATTCCTTCCAGCGGTCATTTCTTCTCTGGTTCCTGCTGTGGATACACGACCTGACTGTGTCTCTAGGCACAGCAGTAATCTGCAAGGGATTCCCACACAGAGGGGGTGATGTCAGGGGTGCCATCTGGGTGGAGGGAGGGACCAAGCCCCCAAAACTTTTCAAGGAGAGGGACCCGGCCATCTCAATATTCTCAAGGACCACATCTTTCCATAGGGACCTACCCGGACAATGAGATCATCTTCCAAGGCCCTCCTTTGTGTGCCTCCTCCTCAAGAGGTCCGGAGGCTGGCAACACGAGAACGGGGCCTTCTCTGCAGTGGCTCCCCGCCTGTGGAATGCTCTCCCCAGGCAAATTTGCCTGGTGCCTTCATTATACATCTTTAGACACAAGGCAAAAATGTTCCTTTTTAACCAGGCCTTTGGTTGATCAGATAGACATCCTATGCCCTTTTTTAAAATGTGGGGTTTTTTTGGGGGGGGGCTATTGGGTGGTTGTTTGTATTTTTATTATGTATTTTCTGGTTTTATATCTTGATTTTATTCTGTGAACTGCCCTGAGATCCCTGGGTATAGGGTGGTATATAAATTCAATAAAAGTAAAGGTAGAGGGACCCCTGACCGTTAGGTCCAGTTGTGGACGACTCTGGGGTTGCGGCGCTCATCTCAATTTATTGGCCAAGGGAGCTGGTGTACAGCTCCCGAGTCATGTGGCCAGCATGACTAAGCCGCTTCTGGCTAACCAGAGCAGCGCACGGAAATGCCATTTATCTTCCCGCCAGAGCGGTACCTATTTATCTACTTGCACTTTGACGTGCTTTCTAACTGCTAGGTTGGCGGGAGCAGGGACCATTGCAGGGATTCAAACCGCCGACCTTCTGATCGGCAAGTCCTAGGCTCAGTGGTTTAACCCACAGCGCCACCCGCATCCCATATTCAATAAATAATAATAATAATAAAAACGTTCAGCAGCAACATGCACACGTTGTGTGCTCATACTGCGTGACATGCTCGCATCACACACGCAAGTCACACGGCATGCTCATGACCTGTCAGCATCTCATGTGGCATGTGTGCATGATGTGAGCACGGGGGAAGCTGGTGTGCGAGGTTGATGTTGCCAGCTTCCGTGTCACATCTGCAGACACCTTCAAAAGTGCTCCAAACAGAGGTGATTAGCAGCCCCTTCCCTTGCAGTGAAGCCAGAAAACTCCCTCGCCACCAGAAAGTTTGCAACAGTCCTGGCTTTCCATCACAGCCCTTGAAGCTAGATGCTCCCTGCCTTGGCAGCTCACACAGGAACGCACGACCGAAAGGGCAGCGGCTGGTAAACTGGGCAAACATAAGGAGGCACGGTTGGGTATTTAAGTGGGTAGAAAGGATGAATAAACGCACAGCTCATCACCGGGGGCTGTGCTCTCTCTGTGTGGAGGATGCGTTGCGTTAAATGGTATTTGCAAAAACAGAAGGGAAAGCTGACTGCGACATAACCCCTTCCGGCAGGCACAGATTTTGTGCGGCACAGAAAAAATGCCAGTATAAACAATCGTGCACGGAAGCTGCAGGGCGGCTACCATGATAATCCCCCCCCGTGTTTATACTAAAAGAAAACGCTTCACCATTTTTGTCGGCCTCAGGAGGATATTAAGGTTGCAAACCTGCCACCGTAACCTCCTTACAGGCCCAGTGGTAAGGAGTTTAGCGTCTCACAAAAAAGGAAAGGGGAATGATGACAGGCAGGTGACAGGCAGCTGCCTTATACTGAGACAGGCCATTCATCCACTTAGCTCAATATTGCCTACACTCACTGACAGCAGCCTTCCCAGGTTTCAGAGAGGATTTCTCTCTGCAGATGCCAGGGACTGAACCTGGGATCTTCTGCATGCAAAGCAGATGTTCTGCTGCTGAACTATGATCCTTCCCCAAGTGACTTTGCTGCCAGAATCACCAGGAGGTTGTCTCCAGCTGGTTACTAGCCTAACCTACCTCACAGGGTTGTTGTGAGGGTAAAATGGGGATGTGGTGGGAAGAACCCCCTCTTGAGCTACTTGGAGAAAGGGCAGAGTTTAAATGTCCTCTATAAATTATGATTGCATTTATTTATACCCTGCCTTTCCCCCGTGATAGGACTCAAGGCGGGTTACAGGTAAAATAAATAACAATTAAAATCAAATAGGCAAGGTTGCCCCTGCAGAAAGAGAACTTGGTGCCTTCCTGAACTACAACTCCATGCTGCCTCCACGTTAGCCTTCCTACCACTCTGAACCATCACTAACTGAAGGTCCCCATCCTACTAGGAGACTGCTCTTTACATCAGGGTTGGGAATAGGAGGCCCTCCAGGCATCACTGTGTGGCCCTCAGGATTACCCCCAGGCCCCTACACACCCTCTCCCCAGGCCACCCCCCTCCCTGGCCCAACTTTCCTCCTTCTTGAGTACTGTCTACAGCAGATGGTGTTGGACTACAACTCCCATCATCCCTGAGCTCTGGCCTTGCTAGCTAGGTGTGATGGGAGTTGTAGTTCAACAACATCTGGGGACCCACAGGTTGAGAAAGGCTGGTCTACAGCCACTGATTCTCAAACTTGGCTCCCCACCAGTTGTGGGACTACAACTCCCACCATCCCCTGGTCCTGCTAGCTAGGGATGATGGGAATTGTAGTCCTACAACTGTCAGGGCTACCCAGGCTTGAGAAACACTGGCCTACACTGACTATCAGTGGATGTTGAGGGTTTCAGGCAGGAGTCTCCCAACCTTACCTGGAGATGCTGGGAATTGAACCCGGGACTTCCTGCTTGCAAGGCAGATGCTCTACCACTGAGCTATGGCCCTTGAATCTGGTGGTGCCTCTTCCTTGCTTGGATGTCAGGTAAAGTGGTGCGTGTAGAAACCAGGTTGCTGTACAAAAGTAGGATGCTTATTCATTGCTCTGCTCACTTTTGCCTTTGGCAGGTGGCCCTCCGGAGGTTGCCCAGAAAGGAATGTGGCCCCTGGGCCAGAAAAGTTTCCCTGCCCCTGCTTTTCATGCTCAGGTCCCTGCAGTCCAGCACCAGCAGCTCCTTTGCTCAGAAGCATCGAGATATTAGCAGCTGCTGCAGCTGCGAAGAAGAGCCAGGAGGCATCCTTCTTGCAGAGAAGTGAGACCCACAAGGGGGCACCACAATACAGTGGAAAGGCACCTTCCTCTCGCTTCCTCACAGAGCCTTGTTTATTTCCCTCTTTTCTCCTGTGCCCCCCCCCCCCGCCTCAAATCCCAGCTTTCGACACACATGCAAAAGCCCTTCAAGATTTATGGGAGTTGTAATCCAAACCTCTTTGGCTCAAAAGCCTTGAGGAGCTAAATCACAATATGGCTTTGACAAGCATGTGTGGGTGTTAAACACACCAGAGTTCAATGCAGACCTGACAGTGCTGTGGGGACCATCTTAAAGGACACCCAGGAAGCCCTCCCCATGGGGTTCCTTAAGATGGGGTGGGTGGGGTGCAGAGTCCAACGGATCCCTAAAGAGTTTTATTAAAAGAATAAAAACAACACAACAAGGGGCTTGGGGACTGACCTTCAATCCTGCCCCCTAGTTTGTTCTTTGGGCTTGAGGTAAAGGTAAAGGGAAAGGATGCCTGGACGGTTAAGTCCAGTCAAAGGCAACTATGGGGTTGTGGCGCTCACCTCGCTTTCAGGCTGAGGGAGCCAGTGTTTGTCCACAGACAGCTTTCCAAGTCATGTGGCCAGCAGAACTAAACCGCTTCTGGTGCAACAGAACACCATGACGGAAACCAGAGTGCACGGAAACGACGTTTACCTTCCCACCACAGTGGTACCTATTTATCTACTTGCACTGGCATGCTTTCAAACTGCTAGGTAGGCAGGAGCTGGGACAGAGCAACGGGAGCTCACCCCGTTGTGCAGATCTGAACCGCCAACCTTCTGATTGGCAAGCCCAAGAGGCTCAGTCGTTTAGACCACAGCGCCACCCGCATCCCTTCTTTGGGCTTGGCCACTGGCTGGTCCCATGGCTCCTGGCTCACCCCCCCAGATGACTACCACTTCAGCCCTGCCCTGAGAGGATTGTTAGCTGCAGTGGACACCTCCATAGTCAGACACAAGATGCTTCTAAGTTCTAGATGCTGGAAACAGCAGGAGGGGCATGTGCAGTTGCCGTCAAATTCTGCTTGTGAGCTTCCTACAGGATCCCGGCTGGCCACCATGAGAGTAGGATGATGGACTCGAGAGGCCAACTGCCCTGATCCAGAAGGGCTGTTCTTACATTCCTGAGTAAAAGCACGCAGACTGAACTGATTACCTCCTCAAGGCTCACTCCCAAATCTCTGTTGCATGACCCTCAGGAATCAGCAATACACAGAGACATGGGGAAGAGATCCCCTTTTATCTCTTGCCCACCAAGAAACGGGAACAGTTTGCAAATCATCTCCCCTGAATACCTCAATGCCCGGATCAGGCACAGAACAATGAGGTTACAGAACGGAGATCCGTGAATACGTGCAGCCCAGCCACAGGGAGTCATCGCTAAAGCACTTTGCAATGTGCAAAATCACTGACATGCTGGATTTATTCTCCAGAGCAGTGCTGCAAGATAAAGTCCCTGTTATTGCCAGAAGGAGAACTGAAGGTGAGTGCCTTGGCTTGCCTAAGAACACATCAAAGAGCACCGTCTAAGGCAGGAGTGGGGAACCTGTGGTTTCCCAGAGGTTGGTGGGCACCAGCTCCCATCAGCCATGCAGTAATCGAACCTAGAGGTTACCAGAGCATAGACAGCAGTCCCTGTGCAGGTAGGGTCACAGCTGAGCCAGCAGCCAAAGATGATGGGAGGCACTCCAGGATACTGAGGCCACCTGAGCCTCAAGCAACAGGATCCAAAAACACGCCCAAGCTCCATGCCCACTCCTTCAGAGCCTTCAAGAGCAGGCAACCTCTTGGGAACCACACCCACTAACAGTGCCTGAATCTTATCTGGATTGAGCTTCAGTTTGTTGGCTCTCATCCAGTCCATCAGCGAGGCAAGGCAATGGTCCGGTACATCCACAGATGTAAAGGAGAAGGAGAGCTGTGTGTCACCAGCATATTGCTGACAACGTTCTCCAAAACTCAGGATAACCCCACTCAGCGGTTTCATGTAGATGTTAAACAGCATAGGGGGGAAATTTGAATGCTGAGGAACCCCGCACTGAAAGCTCCATGGGGCCAAAGACCACTCCCCAAGCATCACCCTCTGGAAATGACCATCCAAGTAGCAACGGAACCACCACAAATCAATGGCACATTTCCACCACCTCTCTCCCAACAAGAGGTCATTATACATGGTGACCAAAGCAGCGGGATCACATTCACCCAGTCCTATGCCAGCTGCACTGGCTCCCAATGGAGTACAGGATCAGGTTTAAGGTGCTGGTTTTAACCTTTAAAGCCCTATACGGCCTAGGCCCCTCTTCTGGTATGCCCTACGGAGGACCTTACGGTCTGCTGACAACAACATCTTGAAGATCCCGGGCCCCAGGGAAATTAGACTGGCCTCGCCTAGAGCCAGGGCCTTTTCGGCCATGGCCCAGGCCTGGTGGAACACTCTCCCACAAGAGACCAGGGCCCTGCAGGATTTGACATCTTTCTGTTCCACCAGGCCTTTGGGCAGGATGCAGTTTGACTTCCTTTCCTTCGTATAAAACAAGCCCGAAGGAGGCCTCCAACCCTCTCCTTGTATGATCAGTGGAAACAGTTGGTCCTAGCAAGTATTAACCACTCTCAATTCCAACCTGATAATTGCCACCTGCCCAGATTTTAACTTGTCTGAATTAATTTTAAGATGTATTTTAATTAATTGATGTCTGTTTTTATGCATATTGTGTTGTTTTTATGATGTTAGCCGCTCTGAGCCCGGCCTCAGCTGGGGAGGGTGGGATACAAATAATTTTTATTATTATTATTATTATTATTATTATTATTATTATTATTATTATTCTGTGGCAAAATCAGACCATGGATGAGGGAAGTCTAACTCAGAGCTGGCATTCAGAAACAGCAGCTGCAGACCCAAGGGCTGGCTGATAGGACAACCTCAGTTCCCCAGGTAACCAATTCCAAAAAAGGCTAAAGCTGTAACACTAAAAGTCCAGTACTCTCAGCACTGTTCCATCTGAAGAATGCAGTTGCCAGGCAAGAATATATGAGGTTATGTGGCCCCTTGGTATATAAGCTGTTATTCCTTGGTTAGTGTGCACACTCTATGGCAAACCTGGGTTTACTGTTGAGTAATGGATAAAACAGCCCAGAGATAACAGACCTGAACATTTGCGTATCCTTGGTTGTCCCAGGTCAAGGTGACCTAGAAGGCAATGCGGTGCATTTTTAATTTATAGATGAATTAGTCACTACTCTACTTCACAGTGACCTGCAAGCATACACCCGGGAGCTGTTTACACAGAGCTTTTCTGTAAGTCATCAGTATTACTGCATGTTCCCTACTTCACCAAGTGATAAGACATCTCAGGGACAGCACTACTCTGTTTAAGCTTCCTTTGAAAGCGAGAGGAGACTAAAGACTTATAGAGGACCCAGCTGGATGAAACAGTCAACTTAGTTTAGCATTACAAGAGCAAGTCTAGGCACCCCTTGGGCTCCTGTGCTTCTACCTCCCTGCTTGTCCTCTAGCTGAAGTTGGTAAGAGGAAATCAGAAGTTTCCACTTCTGTTTCAGATTTACTAGTGTGTTGCCTGAACCCTAAACTATGGCTTCTCCTACGATCAGTAAAACAAAGCCAGCTCCATGTGGGAATGTTCAGGGATGCAGGAGAGGATATCTGGTTTGTTTATAGCCTTTCCAACTTGTGTTAACAAGTTCCACAATTTAGCAGAGTAACATTCCCCCTTTAAACTTGCAGCGGATGCGTTTGCTCAGGCTCACTAA